GTAAGTCAGAAAAGGCAGCCAATAAGGGCCTCCAGCTGCTACCAGCTGGCAACAGAGCCAGGACTGCCACCTGGGACCCCTTCCACCCATCTCCCTACTCCCAAATCAGCCCCCCACTCTCCCAGAGGACTGCTCCTAGCCCCTCGCGGGCCTCACTGCTTGTCCCAGCTCCAGGTCCCTCTGAGGTGAGTATGGCCCTGTCACCAAGGAAGGTAGGAGGCCCTTGCACATCTGGATATCCATCCCACTGACCATGATGTGAGAACGGGCATGCGTGCCTCCAGTGGCATGGTGACATAGCAAGCTAAGCCCCTGCCCACAGTGCCATCATTCCATGTGCGCACCGGTTAGAGTCCTGGCTGTTCCACTTCTGATTCAGCTCCCCGCTTGTTGTCAGGGGAAGCAGGCACGTGTCCTTGGGCTTTTGCAGCCACAGGGGAGACCTAGAAGTGGATCCTGCCTTCTGATTTCCAAATCCGCTCCAGACTCTGTGATGAGGTCTCTGTAACTCTGACTTTCCAATAAAAATAAACACAGCTTTAAAAATTAAAAGAAAATTTAAGAGGCATGCCTCCTTCTCTTGGTCAAACTCAGTTTCGTCAACAAAAACACAGGCCAAAAAGGACCGGGACATGGACAATGGAGCCATCGGTGGCTCCCAGGGATGGGTCCACACCGGGCTTGGGAGCCTGCAGGAAGGAAGAGGGAGGGACGTGAGGAGCTGCCAGGCCCCCTAAACGAAGCCCACAGCTCCCCATCCTCGGAGCCTGCAGAAGGCAGCCCACGTGGGCAGGGTTTGCAGCCTCTCCTGGGCACCCTGGACCACGTGGGGACACTCTTCAGTCTCCCTCCTGCTGGCTTGGATTGCAGGTCCTAGGTCACGTGAAGGACAGCACTCAGCTGTGGAGACCCTGGTCATCGGGGGCTGAGAGTTGCCCCAGGTGGCAGTGCAGGCAGCCCTGGGAGGGGAATGCCAGGCTGAAGCAGGATGACTGCCCAGTGGAGCCCTTGATCCCGGACCCAGAAACCCAAATGACTCACTCAGGGAGCTCTGTTCTCAGCCCAGCCCACATTCCCGGGCCTTTGTTCCCAACCTGCCTGGGCTAGATCTTAAAGGGCCAGCTCCTCTCGGCAGCTGAAATCAAGGCTACAATGGCTGCCTCCCCCACCATCATGCCCCATCACCACCACCAAATCGCCCCAGTCTCTGTGCTGTGGGTAAGAAGGATGGCATCCTACGAGAGTTAGGGGTAAGCTGGTCCAGGCCTCGGGGGATCGGGCAGGGTCACCCAGGCCACTTGGGTCATCTCCCCACCTCCCAGCAGAGCTGCACCTGTGCTGGCCAGGCAGGGTTAAGAAAACTCTTCTACCTGTTTTCACAGAAACTGCTACAGGGTCTGGCGGCTGGCTCCCTTCTGAACACTAACCTCTCTTTTATGGGATCCCACCTCTGCTGGGACACGTCCGTTTGATGGGTCCCAGACCCTCCCAGGGATTCCAGGTTGCACCCTTGACCTGCAGGATTCCCTTCCCTGGGCCCCGCACGCCACCACGTGGACAACTCAGGAAGTGACGTCTCCGGATGGCAGGGGAGGTGGGGGTGAGCAGGTGGCCATGAGCAGGTGTCTATCTATGCTCCTTCCTTCTCCCTTCTCCCACCCTGCCTTGCACCACAGGGGTTCAAGGCAGTCCTGAAAAACCCAGCAGAAGCCAAGTCCAGAGAGAAGTTTAGGGGTGGAGGTTGCCGGGAGGCCGGGCCCACAGCTGTATCTGCACGGCAGCATCGTGGCTTGGTTTTTAAAGATGCATTCATTCGTCAGGTGCCCTTGATGTGACATAAGGAGTAAAGCTGCTGCCTGCAGTGCCTTTATTCCATAGGGGTGCCAACTGGAGTCCTGACTGCTCCGCTTCTGATCCCGCGGTGGATGGCCTAGGGACTTGGGTTCCTGCACCCTGTGGGAGACCCGGATGAAGTTCCTGGCTCCTGGTTCTTCCCTGCCATCCTCTGCTGCCTTCTCAGGCACATTAGCAGGAGGTTGACTTGGAAGCAGAGTAGCTGAGACTCACATTCACTCTGTTAGTGGGATGCTGGTGCTCCTGTGCCACCAGGCCTGGGGACAGAGCCACATCGGGACATCCATGATGCCTGGCAGCCCTGGAAAGGGTTGCCAGATGCGCTAGGACAACAGGTTTCTCATTGGGGCGTTGGTCCCGGAGTCCCTGGCCCTAACCCATCAGGTCAGCCAGGTTTCTGATGGTTGGGTGCTATTGCCCACAGTCTGCCCTCCCTCGGGTCCGTGGCACCACGCTGGCCCCCGTCTCCCAACACCATGGGCAGAAGGCCAAGGCCAGGAGAACCCAGGCTGTGCCTGGGTAGTCTTCCTGGGCCACAAGCTCAGGACCCCTACATGTTGTGGGGCTCTGGTGTAGAGAGAAAGTCCCACCCCCTCCCTCGGAGAGTCTGACAAGGACTCCAGGTAGCTCAGCACCGGGCTGAGCTTCCTTTGATGTGTGGGTCGGCTTCCCTCACTACAGGCTAAAGCAGTTTTCAAAACCCTCCCTGTTTTCTTCAAATTTCTCATTTCTCCGGATTCCCTGCCACCTGGGCCCTAAGGATGAACCTTTCTCCCACTTCCAAGCTCCTCAACGCTTCCTAGAGCCTCCTCCGGGAGTCTGTTTTCTCCCTTCCAGCCTGGGGACACCAGCCCCCAGAAGGAGCGTGGGCACATCCACCTGGCCCATGATGGCCCCAGGCAGAGTGTGGCTTTCCGCGTGTCCAGCGTCATGCTGCTCAAAGACATGCTGCAGCAGGGGCCCACCTCCTGTCCCCACACCGCCCTCAGGGTCTCCCCGCTGCTGCAGCTGCTCCTGGACCCCCGGGTGAGTCACCTTGCGCCTCGGCGCCCTGTGGACTTGTGCTGCTCCTCGGTCATACGCTGGCCTGGCGTCAGACCCGCAGCCGGTGCCTTCAGTTGTCATCCCCCGGTGGACCCCCTGAATGACCGTCCGTAAGAGACCGAGACCCTGTCATCCAGAAGTGCCACTTCACAGCTCAGTCATCCAGATGTGTACCCTCCTGGTGTCTTACTGGAGAACCCCACCCACCAATCTCGCCCACTTGCCAATCACCCTCAGGCAATCACCTATGACCATCTCCCGCACCAACGCCTGGGGGCCTGCCCGCAGCCCCTCCCGATTCCCCACGCACACCTTGCATGCTCACCTGGGGTGCATAACGAGGCCCCCACATGTGCTCCCCTCTTTCTCTACACTCTCCCAACATCCTCTGTCCCACCCTTGCCCTACTGGAATTAAAAACCTAAAATACTTCCTCGTGTCTGGCATCTTCGGCTTAAGGTAAAAGAGGACTTGGCTGAATCAGCTGTGCCTGAGAACGTAAGAAGTTTAAGGGCCCGGTGTGATAGCATAGCGGTTAAAGTCCTTGACTTAAATGCGCCAGGATCCCGTATGGGCACTGGCTGTCAGGGCCTCAAAGGAGCCCCCTGTGAACGCAGCAGGTACCCAAGGGAGAGATGAGGACAGGAGGTCAGTGTCAGTGGCTCCCCGGGCGATGGGCCCCTCTGTCACCTGGGGTAGGGGTGGAAGATGCTCTGTGTCTGCCGGCAGCCCTTGTAGCACTGCAGGTGGCAGGAAGGGGGTCTCCGGCTTATCCACCAGGCCCCTCCCCCCTTTCTCAGCTCCCATGGGGAATAGGTGGCCGGGAAAACAGGAGAGCCACAGTCAGTTTTCTAAGAAGATGCTGTATTTAATGCCTCATCATCCCACACTTCCCTCCACCCCTCCCTCCCCGCACCCCCACAAGGACCCAGGCAGGCCCTTCTCCTTAAGGCAGACGGCGCGGAGGTAAGAAAGTGAAAGTGCAGGCACTGGCCTGGGGGCGGGGCAGGGGCGGGAGTGGGGCAGACCCCCTCGCACCCCCTCCCCTTCCAGGAGGCCCCAGAAGGCAGGCTGGCTGGTTCTTGGAAAGGGCATCCTGCAGACACTGCCCTGGGGGGCGGGGCGGGGTGACTGCACAGCCCCCGCTGCGGGGCTTGGCTGTGACAGGCACTGTCCCACAGGCAGCCTGGGCTCTGCCTGTGCGCCCACCTCCCCCAGCGGGGGACTGGTGGTCAAGGGGCCACACGGACCGCACCGTGGGCGAGCCTGGCGGTGGTAGCATCCGCACCCCCAGCCACAGGGGCACCCAGGGACTGTAAGCCATGAGCATGGAAGCAGGAGGCCAAGGCCTTGTCCCCTGAAACTGCCACATTTTTCAGCTCCTTCACCTCCCCTTCCTCCTTCCTGTCCCCCCAAGCAAGGACGGGCAGGCCGCCCTCTCCTCCCTGCCCTGGCGTGCTTGGGGGAAGAGAGGCCCCCTGCCCCAACACCCTGCACCTAACGACCCTCCCTGGTGGTCCAGAATTGATATGTGTCTCTGCAAGGCACCAGAGCCTGGGTTTGAGCCACACCAGGCCAGCCCCGGGGGGTGGGGGGGTGGAGACAATGCCCAAGGGACACGGGCGAGGGTCCGAGGTGTATGGGGTTGGGGAGGGGCACTCCCTCAGTGCCCAAGCTCAGCCCCACTCACAGTCAAGGCCAAGTCCACACAGCAGATTGGCTTCTCTGGTAAACAAATATAGTCTCCCCACCCATAAAACGTGTCCAGAAGAAGCTTCCAAGTTCCAGCCAGCATTCCCCGAGGGGGTTTCCACCATACAGGGGGCTGCCCCTTGGAGGAGCGGCAAGGACCTTCGTGCCAGACCTGGGCAACCCCACCGGCTCAGGGGCTGCAGACTGGCGAGCGAGCTGCCCCTCTCGGTCTCTCTCCCCAAGTCCTCCCTTCTGCAGGCCTGGGGCACACCTGTCCCTGTGGGCGGAGTAGCTCCCAGGGGGAGCAGGACCGGCCGTGGGGCAGCCATCGCTTCTGCTCCCGCCCTGCCGGTCAGGAAGCGAGAAGCGGTCGGTGGGTCGGTTGGTCTGTGGGCTGTGCCTGCCAATGCTTAGGGCATCTTCATCTGCCGGCGGTTCCACATGCCGCGCTTGGAGTGGAAGTGATGGAAGAAATTCCTGAGGGAGAGCCGCTCCACTTCCAGGCCGGCTTGGAGGATCCTGCAAGGAGGGGGAAGAGCAGAATGAGTGGGACAGTCACCTGTCCAGCACCCACGTGTGCACCCTGCCTGCCTCATCGCTTCCCACGGGGCAGGACCGGGAGGTGCTTGTGGACAGAGCCCAGGCTGTGAGGCCAGACAGCCCAGTTCCACAGAGCCATCGGCTTCTCTCCAGAGAGATGACAGTACAACAGATGGGGGAGTATGGGGAACTTTGAAAAGTTTATGGAAAACAGAATTAAAACAGAAGCTAAGCGGGGGGAGGGGGGAATCTAACCATAAAAGGGGTCTTTAGAGAAGGTCACTCCTGATGGCTCCTCAGGACACTGGGGGTGAGGGGCTGGACCTGCTCCAGACCCGGCTGTCGTCCAGGCTTCAGCCCGGAACAGGAGGGGCCACAGGTGCCAGTTATGTCACTGGCCTGGCGGGATTCCAGCCGACCAATGGCCCACCCGAATGGACATTGCTTATATAACTGGGGCACAGACAGCCCCTTGCCAGCCCATGTGTCTAGACGTGTATACAACTCCCCAACACACATCTCAGCCGCCCTTTTCGCCTCCATCTTCCTTCCGCTCTGTGTGAAGGGGGCCCAGGAGTGGATGCTCCAATAAAGCTTCCGTTCCAACTATGGACAACTTGCTGATATTATTCCACCAGCGTGTGGGTGGCCGGTGGTCATCATCAACAACACCCACGTGCCAGGCGAGTGGTGGTTCGAGTCCCAGCTACTCCACTTTTAATCCAGCCCCCTGCTAATGGCCCGGGAAAGTAGTAGAGGGTGGTCCACGGGCCTTGGGCCCCCAGAAAGCAGGAGGGAAGTGCTGAGCCCAGAACCAAGAGCAGCTTGGAGGCCACATCCGGCCAAGGTTCCCCACATGCTCAAATCTGCAAGTTGGAGGGCTGGCACAGTGAGGCAGCACATCAAAGGGCTGCCTGCAACTCTGCCATGGAAACTGGGCTGCCTCCCAGCTGCTGTGTCTCACCATCCAGCTCCCTGACAGAGGTCTGGAAAAAACACCAGAGGATGGCCCCAGTGCCTGGGCCCCTCCCTACCACAACCATGTGGGAGACCCACAAGAGGCTCCTGGCTTCGGATCAGCTCAGCTCCGGCTGTTGCAGTCAGTCGGATGGAGGATCTTCCTCTCTGTCTCTCCTCTCTGACTTTTATCTGACTTTGCAATAAAAATTAAAATAACAAGTAATAAAAAAAACGGGTCCGGTGCGATAATGTAAGTGGTTGAGGTCCTCGCCTTGCATGCCCAGGATCCCATATGGACGCCAGTTCTAATCCCAGCTGCTCCGCTTCCCATCCAGCTCCCTGCTTGTGGCCTGGGAAAGCAGCAGAGGACGGCTCAAAGCCTTGGGACCCTGCACCTGCGTGGGAGACCCCGGAGAAGCTCCAGGCTCCTGGCTTTGGGTTGGCGCAGCACCGGCCATTGCAGTCACTTGGGGAGTGAATCCTCAGACAGAAGATCTTCCTCTCTGTCTCTCCTCTCTGTATATCTGACTTTCCAATAAAAATAAATAAATCTTAATAAAAAAAATAAAAAAGAAGTAGAGCAGCCAGAACTCTCAAACCAGCACTCACGGGGGGGATGCCGTGACACAGATGGCAATTTAACCTACTACCAGCCCTATTATTATTATTATTATTTTCAGTTTCTTCAAAAGTTACTGTCGCCATTCATGTTTAAAAGCTCCTAACAGAGGTGAGGGATGGGGATTGAGGACTGGCCTTGACCGACTGCCCTTGACTAGAGCACAGTGTCTCTTCTGCTACCGCCCTTGCAGTCTTTGCTTCTGCTCTGACACATGCTCATCTAGGTGACGGGGCTGGGAGGGACGGGGGCCAGGTGCACATCCCCACAGTGCCCTGCCTGGCGCTCAGCCATGCAGCTTCACTCCATGTTCCCAGCCCCATGACACAGACGCACAGTGTGATGCCAGACGGAGTGAGAGCAAGTCGTTTCAGAGTCTCCTGCGAGCCCAGTGCTTCACGCCCCATGAACCCACACCCGGCAGTGACAGGAGGCCAACGTGGCCCGGCCCCTGGAGGACTCTCACCCCATCCCCTCTTCCCAGTCACCTGTCCAGCAGCTCCCAGTCTTCCCCACCCCAGCGGTCCCGGAACTCCTTGGTGTTCATGCCCCCGATCTTGTCCAGGTCAGACTTGTAGATGCCAAGCAGTCCAAATCCATTCACCTCCCAGTAGCCTGCGGACAGACCAGGAGCCCCAGGTGAAACAGCTGGAGCCAGGAGGAAGGCAAGGAGCGCACTTCTGGCCTACAGCCTTTTCTAAGACGGGTGAGAGTGTGACCGAGGCTGAGTACTTAGTTGAGCAAGCACTCTGAGTGGGGCGGTGCCCATCCTCAGGCCACGCCTACCTTCATGCAGGGGGCGGTGCTCACCCGTAGGCCACGCCTACCTTTGTGCAGGGGGGCGGTGCTCACCCTCAGGCCACACCTCCCTCTGCAAGCAGAGCTCACCTTCAGGCCACTGGGGCGTGGCCCCACAATGCAGTCTCATCACCATGGGGGCGAAGGCCATCTTGCCCTCCACACAGTGCTTCCGGATTGTGTCGATGACGCCGGCTGGGAAGTGGATGTGGAGGTCACAGAGGAAGATGATGCTATGTGGGTCCTGGGGACAGGCACAGGCAGGGTAGGCCACTCTGCTGATCTGAGGGCAGTGCCACACTTCTGTGCCAAATGCCCACCCCTCACCTAGTTGCATCTCCAAAGCCCCTGCCAGGCCATACCTTCACCAGGTCAATGCCAGCTTGAAGCCCTGCAGAGCGCTCAAAGTTTCCACTGAGCTTCACATACTGGTAGCTGCAAGAGGAGGGGGAGGAGACCTGGACCATGTCAGGACTGGCTTCAACCATCGCCTGGAGGAAACCAACTGGATTACAGGTGGTGGGGAGGGGGTTTTCCTGGCCAAGGACCCCTCACCTCCGCAGCTGGGACTTGCGCAGGGCCATCTCGACATCCATGTCCTCACTGCTATAGTCAGTAATGATGATGTTGAAGTGGGGGTCGCCGGTGGCCTGCAGCAGCCCCTCCATGTCCTTGATGAATTGCTGTACCCAGCGTGCCTGGTTCTTCACTAGTCCAGGGGCCGGACAGGGAGGAACAGACAAGGAGGGCACAGGTAAGGCAACTGTGGCAGAGAGCTAGCAAGGCAGCCTAGAGGCAGAACTTGCCAGGGTAAGGGGTCCCTCCCGCCCTGCTCCCCACAAACCCCAACAGGCAGGCAGGGTGCCCTCTGCTCTTCCAGGGGCCCTACCACCTGCCCAGCTCATTACAGTCTTCTATTTCTAGCCAGCTTGGAATAGACCAGGCCGAAGCCAAGAACCTAGAACTGAACCGGAGTCTCCCGCACAGGTGGGAAGGACCAGCACCTGCTCCTAGAAGGCACGCTAGCAGGAAGCTGGGATGGGAGCCAGAACTGGGACAGGGCCACTCTGACGTTGGATGTGGGGGTCCCAAGCAGCTCCTCCCCCAACTGCCCCTCATCACCTGACCTGCAGACCAACTATGAGCCCCAAACCCGAGTCCCAGCACAAAGTACTGGCCTGCAAGTCAGTATCTGTCCTCACCCACACGGACCAGCTAGCTCACCTTCCAGTCACTTTGTTATGGGAACCTGCGCTTACTCAACTGTGCAATGGCCTTGGGACTGGTGACATGGCATAATGTGTTAAGTCACTTCCTGTAATGCCGCCATTCAATCCGGGCACTGGTTCATATCCAGGCTGTTCCACTTCCTATCCAGCTCCTGCAAATGGCCTAGCAAAGCAATGAAAGATGACCCAAGCCCTAGGCCCCCACTATTGCACATAAAAAAGCTCCTGACTCCAGCCAGGCACAGCCCTGGCCATTGCAGTCAATTGGGGAGTGAACCAGCCAGAAGGAAGTTCTCTCTCTTTTCTTCATTTCTTCTCTCTTTCAAATAAACAGTCTTTTAAAAAAATATTTATTTATTTATTTTATTAGAAAGTCAGATTACAGAGAGGAGGAAAGACAGAGAGAAAAATCTTCCATCCACTGATTCACTCCCCAAGTGGCCGCAACAGCCGGAGCTGAGTCGATCTGAAGCCAGAAGCCTGGAGCCTCCTCTGGGTCTCCCATGTGGGTGAAGGGTCCCAAAGCTGTCCCAGGCCATCATTGACTGTTTTCCCCCTGCCACAATCAGGGAGCTGGATGGGAAACTGGGCACCAGGACATACACCAGCGCCTATATGGGATCTTGGTGCGTGCAAAGTGAGGACTTTAGCCACTAGGCTATCACACTCGGCCCTCAAATAAACAATCTTTAAAAATATATTAAAAATATATACAACGGGACCTGGCCTGATAGTGTGGTGGTTAAAGTCCTTCCCTTCAATGCGCTGGGATCCCATATGGACGCCAGTTCTAATCCCGGCAGCTCCACCTCCCATCCAGTTCCTTGCTTGTGGCCTGGGAAAGCAGTCAAGGATAGCCCAAAGCTTTGGGACTCTTCACCTGTGTGGAAGACCTGGAAGAGGTTACTGGCTTCAGATTGGCTCAGCTCCAGTCATTGCAACCACTTGGGGAGTGAACTATCGGACAGAAGATCTTTCTCTCTCTCCTCTCTGTATATCTGCCTTTCCAATAAAAAGCAAATAATCTTAAATCTTAAAATATATATATATATATATATATACACACACACAATGGGCCCAGCCAAGCTACAGCACCAACTGGCAAATGCCAGGATGAGGTGGGCCAGGCCAGACCAGGCCGCAGCACCCAACTAGCATATGTGAGACCTAGGGCGTCAGTGATGAAACCAGTAGGGGGCCTGCACAGGGTTCCCCTATTGGACTACCACTCCCACTGGTGAGCCTGAGAGCTGGGATGGGGGCAGACCAGACTGGGCAGGGTGACAACACCGGTTGTCCCCACGTGAGCTGGTCAGGGGAAAGTCGAGCTGGGTTAACTGTTCTTACTGATGCAATGCATAAGCCAGAGTGGGTGTGGGTGGGTTGGGCTTTGCCGAGTATTAGCTGGCAGATGCTGGCACTGGGGGCTAATTCTGTCAAGTCAAACTGCAAAACCACCTGGAGAGTGCAAAATGCAGGAGTGAGAGTAGGAAAATAGTGGCCAGCTTCTTCTTGGGTTGCCACTCTGACTGGGGAGCATGAGAACCAGGACTGGGGTAGGCATGGCTAAAAAGAGAATGGCACCCACCGGCACCAGTTTTCAATGCCCATGATCATGTGTGAGAGCTAAAAGTGGAACAGACTGGACCAGTCTACTGTACATATTAGTAAGCATGGGAATCAGGGCAGGGGGTGGACCTGGTAGCGATTATTGCAGGTCACTCCGACTAGGCTGCAGCTCCCACTGATTTGTGTGGGGGGCTGAGTGTGTGGTGGGCAGGATCAGGCTGAGCTGCAACACCCACTGGTTTATGTAGGAGACAGTGCTGGAGACACAACTGACCCAGCAATTGCAACCACGAGCATGTGCATAAGCGGACTGGGGCGACAGACTGTGCCGGGCCCTATACGCAAGAATCAGGTCTGGGGATCACCTCAGATGAAATTTCTTTGGGGATCCCTCCAACTAAATCACTGGACTAAGAACCCCAACCATGGAGAGAATTGCAGGTTCCATGGTCTGACCGTGGAGTGCATGTGTCAGAGCTGGGCCTCCTTCAAAGGCTCAGCTGGAGCAGTGGCCAGCATGTCCAGGTGCACATGGAGCATACGGCAGTGCACTGGGGCCTGCAGAGGACACCTGGTACCATAACAGAAGATGGAGGACAGAACAAATGGATTAACTGCCCCAGCCAAGTGTTGGCAGTGAGTATTTGGGCAAATGGACACTCCAGGGTGGACTATATGGAGAGATTTCATCATGCTTGGAGTGGTGAAATTAGTAATTCAGAACTTTTGAACTATCAAAACTTCTTGAGCAGGACCGATTGGGTTAGCAGGCCCTCAGCACATTACCCCACAGCCCCTGGGATGGCGTTGTGTGGCCGGGTGTGGCTTCTCTCCACCTTCCTGTAGCCCTTGACCCTTTAAACCCTAATCAACTATGTAAAAATCATCAAAAATAATTATCTAAAAAAATTATACACACACACACACACACAAAATGGGGCCCAGCAAAATTGTTCAGTTGGCTAATCCTCCACCTCCAAGCGCCAGCATTTCATATCCATGCCAGTTTGTGTACCAACTGTTCTACTTCCAGCTCCCTGCTTGCGGCCTGAGAAGGCAGCGGAAGATGGCCCAAAGCCTCGGGACCCTGCACCTGCGTGGGGAGCTCAGGAGAGGCTCCTGACTCCTGGCTTCAGGTCAGCTCAGCTCCAGCCATTGTGGCCATTTGGGGAGTGGACCACCGGATGGGAAATCTTCCTCTTATTTGTTAAATCTGCCTTTCCAATATAAATAAATATTCTTAAAATTAAAAAAAAAAAAAAAAGGTATATGCAGTGAGTGGCCTTTGTCACAAGTTCTCACAAGCAATCACACAGTGGTGCAAACCGACCTGCGCGCTCACACTTGAACTTGAGGCTTACCAGGCACGATGAAGTGGACCACAGCGCGGTGGTTCCAGGAGAAGCCCTGGGGCCAGCACAGCTTGGGCTCTGGAGCCTGCACGTGCAGGACCTGTCTCCGCTGCTTATGGGGGCTCCAGACCAGACCCTGCAGGTTCCGTGCCTCGGCCTCCTCCCCGCCAGCCGGCTCAAGCCCCTGCCAGCCTCGTGCAGACACGTATTCTGAAAGCCGCACCAGGCGCCCACCGGCTTCCAGCAGTTCCAGCTCCAGGAGGTAGCGACCCCCACGCAGCTGGTCCTGTCGCTTCTCCACATTCACGATGCGCTGCAGCTGGTACCTCCTAGGGCAGAAAGGGCAGAAAGGACAGGGGCCTGAGCCATTCCCAGCCATCCTGAGAGAGGGTCACAGGGTGGTGGAACCAGCCAGGGGTAGGCAGTCAGGAGACAGAGGCGCCGTTCCTGTCCTGGAATGCTCCCACTCCTGAGCTGTGAGGACCCGCAGGTCCTATGCATGTGAAGTGAGATGAACCGCAAGGGAACAAGAGGTCCTGGAAACAGACCCTCTTAAGTGAAATGTTCCTTCTGAGCCTGATCATTTCGATTCTCGGTAGAGGGCCCAGTGCGTTAGCCTAGTGCCTAAATCCTTGCCTTGCATCGTCTTGGATCCCATATGGGCGCCGGCTCATTTCCCAGCTGTTCCACTTCCTTTCCAGTTCCCTGTCTGTGGCTTGGGAAAGCGGTAGAGAATGGCCCAAAGCCTTCGGACCCGGCACCAGTGTGGGAAATCCAGAGGAAGCTCCAGGCTCCTGGCTGCGGATTGGCTCAGCTCTGACTATTGCAGCTACTTGAGGAGCGAACCAGTGGGTGGAAGATTTTCTATCTTCTCTAGCTCCTTCTCTATGTAAGTCCGCCTTTCCAATAAAAAAATGAAATAAATCTTTATTAAAAAAAAAAAAAAGAAGATGGGCCCGGCGCGATGGCAGTGGTTAAGGTCCTCGCCTTGAACGCCCGGGATCCCATATGGGCGCTGATTCTAATCCCGGCAGCCCCACTTCCAATCCAGCTCCCTGCTTGTGGCCCGGGAAAGCAGTGGAGGATAGCCCAAAGCTTTGGGACCCTGAACCCACGTGGGAGACCTGGAAGAGGCTCCTGGTTTCGGATTGGCTCAACTCCAGCCGTTTCGGCCACCTGGGGAGTGAACTATCGGACGGAAGATCTTCCTCTCTGTCTCTCCTCCTCCCTGTAAATCTGACTTTCCAATAAAAATAAATCTTAAAAGAGAAAAGATTCTAAGTAGAGAAAGTGGAATAATTAAGAGGGGTCGCAGTGAAAGAGGTCCCCAGAGACACGAGCCCTCTTGGATGAAAACGCTGTTCAAATCAAGGCCATAACACCCACGGCCTCATTAGATAAACAGGTTCAGCCTCATTAGTCACCTGGGAAAGCAAAATCATCATGACGATGGGACAACATTTCACTTTCATGAGGATGGTTACCTGAAGCCACGCAAACAACGCAACGGTACGATATCGCATTGCTTGAACTGGAGCACTGAGAAACTCGGACCCTCAGAACGCAAAAACGACGCAGGTGACACAGAAAAGAGGCGGGAGTTTGTCGGCTGGCTGGCCACCCCCTGCCGGCAGCAGCAGCGATGCTACGGAACGGCTGCGAGGTGGAAATGACCGGGGCGTCGTCAGCGGATGAGCAAATGCACAGAATCCAACAAGTCCTTCCGCTGGAGGCTGGAGCAGGCTGCACCCACGGAAAGGAACCCCTTGGTTCACTCCACAATATGGATGAACCCCGCAAACAGGCACAAAAGCACACACACACACCACACAACTGAACTTACAGGATGTGTCCAGCACTGATGAAGAGAACAAAAGCCACAGTGGCCAGAGGCCAGAAGGAAGGCAGAACAGAAAGAAGCCACTAAAAGTCTGGGAAAGACTTTGAACGGGGACAGAAATGTTCTGGGCTTCGTTGGCAGTGCCAGCCACAACACCATGGACACACTTTCAAATCAAAGAATGGTGCATTCTAAGATGGCAGGTTTCATGATCATGAATTCACTCTTAAAAAAACAAACAAAAAAAAGTGCTAACTGCTTGGATGGATGGCAAAAGAAAGCTCCGAGCCACACTCAGGCCCTGGGGTCTGTCTCACCTTTTGGCTCTTTCCTATTCTCTCCCTGAGGGAGGGGGGCCCCATCCACCAGGTCCTCAATGCCAGGGCCCAGGCCAGCAGCCGGGGAGGGCAGCAGGTGGCCGGAGGCGGCCCGAGGCCGAGAGAGAGCCCTTTACCTTACCCCCGGCTCCGCTGGCTGAGTCTCTTGAGGAAGACACGAGCCACCTCGAGTGCCTCCTGCTCCGGGAGCAACAGATTGCCCGAGGTGTTGCAGCTCAGGTCGATCCAGTCGGTCCTCAGGGCTTGGAAGTCAAGGTTGTGAGCGCTGAAGGTCTGGTCCCAGTTGACAACAGGGTCGAACACAGGCACATACTCAAACACTTCATTCATGTCTTCTTCCTCTTCCTCTTCCTCCTCCCCTTCCTCCTCCACCTCCTCCTCTTCCTCCACCTGTTCCTCCTGGCCCACAGCGGCCACCACTTCCTCCTCCGCACCCCAAGTCCTCCTGGAGGCCTGGGGTTCCATCCTGTCGCCCCTCCTCTGCTCAGCGATGTAAGACTCCACTTGACTCAGCCACTGTGACTGCTCTAGAGTCCTGTCCGGGCCTGGTCCTGTGGGCTGGAGCCTCTTCTTCTGAGGCAGGCCTCCTGCAAGGTGTCCTGGGGGCCGCCTGGCTGGAGGAGCTAAGTCGTGGCTGGGCGTGGGGCTGGGTTTCCGCTTCCTCTCCTGTGCCAGGCGGCCAGGGAGGTTGCCAAGTCTCACTGGGAAAGGGGCCGTGGAGTTGCGCTTGGAGAAGGGAGCCAGCAGGCCAGTTCGGGGCCGGGCCAGGAGCTTCCGCAGGCTCCGGAGCCGGTAGTCCGTGACCCCCTGCCCAGGGCTGGGGAGAGGCACCTGTCGGCCCTCTGACATCCTGGCATCCCTGTCCGGGGAAGCAGGGGTCTCCTCTGCCGTGTCTGCATACTGGGATTCTTCTAGAAGGTCCTCTTCCAAACCTGCTGTTTAACGATAACCACACCTCATATCAGCGGTTTTCAAACTTACAAAAAAAAAATTTTTTTTCAATTTATTTGAAAGACAGAGACAGGGAGTTCTGCTGTCTCTTGGTCCACTCTCCAAATGCTCCCATGGCCAGTGCTGGGCCAAGCTGAAGCCAGGAGTCTGGAACTCCAGCTGGGCCCCCTCCATGGGTGGCGGGGACTCAAGCCCTGAAGTCATCAGGTGCTGCCCCCCAGGGTGCCCATCATCAGGAAACTGGAATTGGAGCAGCTCTGGATCTCGGACGCAGGTACTCAGACGTGGGATGCCAGCCTCTTACCCACGAGGCCAGAGCCCGCCCCAGTTTTCATCTTTTTTTCTAACAAGATGCACAGGACAATTCGTGACTGTGTGACACAAGAAGGAGCTCCAGCCTGGGATTCAATCCGGACCCTACTACTGGCTGCGCTGAGGGGCAAACCACTCCGCCTCGATGAAGCCAGTGCCCACACTCACACCAAAGGTACAAACCTCCACCTTTCCTAGGGCTGTGCTCAACACTGAGCAAAATGGATCCCTCCAGGAGACAAGCAGGTGTTGCGGCAGGGCACACCGAGCTGGGCTCGCGCCAGCACGCCACTGAGGGTGCCCACGGCCGCCCCTGCAGCTGACTCCAACACACTGGCAAGAGCAGTGTGGCTTCCACGGGCACCTGACTTGGGGAGGCTTTGGGTGCCGCTCTGTTCCTCACAGGTGTGGGGAGGGGTCTTGCGGTTGAGATCGGAAGCCCCTCGGGATGGAGCCGGCACGGTCTGTGCTGCCCTGGGAGCAGGTGGCAGCTGTTACCCCCACCTGGCCTGCCCCACAAGCCTCGGTGGTCGCCGTACCTGGCCGTTCCAGCCCCGGCTTCTCAGGCTGATCCATCTTCATGTACTCCTGAAAGCTGAACCTGCGGGAAGAAGGGAGGGACTGGCACCCACCGGGTCCCCAGGGCTGTGTGGGCTGCAGCAGGAGAGGAGGGGGGCGGTATATCTGTTTAAAGCGTCAGAGCAGAGGCTCCTGGGCGGGGAGGGCAGCACACAGGTGGCCGGGCGCTCATTCACCTGTCCTGGTAGTAGGCATGTTCCTGATAGAAGCACTTGTTGTGCGTCTCCATGTGGCTCAGGCGGGTGTAGTCATTGGGATAAACGAAGGACAGGTGTACCTGCAAGTGCACGAAGCAGCGGCAGAAGAGGCTGGGATCTTGAAGACAAACCAGACAGCCAGGGGAAACCCCACCCTTGGTCGGGAGTTCCCATGGAAAGTTCAATTGGATTTTCGGCCCACCTGTAGGCCTGTTCCCCAGGGCTCTCTGGACCAAATACAGGCTGAGCCCAGCCTCACACCCCACAGCCTCATCTCTTGTCCTAGTTCATACCATTCCCTCCTTCCTCGCCAGCTGATCCTCTCCCATCTCCTCTCACCACCCTCCCCACTTCTGGATGCCTTGAACACAGCTCGAGGTCACCTCCCCTCCCGGGAGCCTTCTCAATCCCATGCCACCTGCCGCCCGGCCTGGCAATCACTCGTGCCCTCAACTCCACCTCGTGGCCCCTAGAGACGACCAGCCCCTCTTCCCACATCCCCTATCCTTCCTCGGCCCCAGGTGGCTGTGAGAGGCAGGATGAAGCTGGACGCGGGGCAGAGGTGGAGTGCATGGGGGAGGAGGGGCCCTAAAGCACAGTGCCTGCTCTCAGTTCCTCCCCAGGGACCCAAGGGGACATTCAGAGTCTGTCTCACAGCCCCCCCACCCCTGTCACAGGCAGCGGTGCCCCCTTGCACACCTGCCCCCACCCAGGGCCCAGGACTTACAAACCGGAGTCCCTGGTATCGCTGCAGGGGGAGCCCGTCCACCAGGTAGCTGGGTTTGTAGGGACAATCAGGCAGCACGTGGCGGACGTGAGATTTAGGGAGCAGAGGCACTGGGGACAGTTGAGGGGAAGAGGAATGAGGGTGGGTGTGCAGCCTGAACTGGGTCTGGTTTAGAAGGCTGAGGGCTGGAATCGCGCTGTCAATCTTCTACCAGCAGCCAGGGATGCCCAACAGATGGGCACTGCTCCTTGGCTGGGCATGAGGTGCGGAGGGAAAGGAGGGCATCCAGTGAGCACCCAGCACCTTCCCGGCCTCTGGTTGTCTTTTCCTCAAGGGAGAGACTGAAGGAGCTTTGTCAGCACTTGAAATGCAAACATTCTGGAGGCTGGCACCGTGGTATAGTAGGTTAAGTCTCCACCTAACGTATTAGCATCCCATATGGACATCGGTTTGAGCCCCGACCGCTCCCCTTCTGATCCAGCGCCCTGCTGGTGGCCTGGGAAGACAGCAGAGGATGGCCCAAGGCCTAGGGACCCCGCAACCATGTGGGAGACGTAGAAGCTCCTGGCTCCTGACCAGCTCAACTCTGACCATTGCAGCTACTTGGAGGGTAAAACAGCAGATGGCTAATCTCTCTGTCTCTCCTTCTTTCTCTGTAAATCTGTCTTTCCAATAAAGTAAAATAAATCCTTTTTAAAAAGGCTGGGCAGGAGACACGGGAGAACCCTTCCTCCACTGGCTTCCAGTTCTTTCATGTCCTAGGTGATGTTTACACAAATGTCTCACTATACCGATGTGCACAACCGTACATAAACACGTCTGAATAATACAGGGGAAAGAATGGAGGAGGAGACTGAGGCTGGGGTGGGAACTGCATCATAAAAGAAACAGCGCATGCGTGTTGGATCCGACGCTGCAAGGGGGTTGGGGACAATTCTGTGGCTTTTGGGAGACTGTGCAGAAGTGACAGGCCCCCAAGGCTTCTGTTCTGTAGGGTCCCAGGAAGTGAGGAAGCAGTGCCCAGCGGCAGGGCCCCACCTTGGTAGAGGGTGTCCCGGGGGTCAGGCTGCAGCATGTCAGCGGGCGGCTGCTGGTCTCCGGGCTGGCCGTCAGGGGCACCCACGTGGCTGGCTGCTGTCTGAGGGATGTGGCCCACCTCGTCCATCCTCAGGACCGTCTCGTCTAGGCCAGGCAGGGAAGAACAGAGGCAGCTGTGAGCACCCAGCACCCCTCACCAAACGCCAGCCTGGCCGTGTCTGCGGAACCAGAGAGACTGGGCCCGATGGAAGACTGCAGGACAGGCACACCTTGCTCCTCCCCACCCTGCTGGCCCCTAACCCGGGGGAGCAGAAGGGGGTCAGCTCTCGGCTCTCTACTTTCCTCTCGGTCCCAGCCCCAACAGTTCATGTCTTCTGGGAAAGGCCAGACCTCTTCCTGTTACTGCCTGAGACTAGAAAGACAACCATCACACCCAACGTTTTAAAACGCTAGTGGAAGGGTTCATTCTGCATAACCATTTTGGAAGTCACGCAGAACATTTGCATCACATGCATTTTTCATATATGCTTTTTATCCGAGAGGCAGACAGGGAGCAAGACGAGTGGATGAGAATTCCAGTTCTGCAGCAACAGCTACAGCTGAAGCTGACATCCGGGAACTCAACTGCGTTTTCCTCACGGGCAGCGGGGGTCCCATGATTCAGGCCATGACTGCTGCCTCTTCACGCCCGCTGGACTCAGTGCCCACAGCCTCAGCCCTTCGCACCCGACACCCCGGCACTTGCCCGTCCCTCCCCCTCCTGCCAGCTTTGCGTGGAAGCCACAGGGCCCACACCCTGCTTCGTACTCCACAGCTACCCGGCAGCTTACCACCTGCGCCTCCTGCTTGGCACATCAGTGACTTTCGGCTGCCAACCGGCCCATTCCTCGTGCCCCACAGCCTCCCCAGCACCTACTGCTGCCCCCCATGGGTGGTGGTTTCCTCTTTCCTCCAGATACGAGGTAAGCCACAAGTAAGCCAGGGGCAGAGTTCTTTCATGGTTAACCTCAAGCTGGCTTTTCCTGCTTTAATTTTTCAAGAACCACTGGTTGGCTCATGTGTACGTGCCATGCTGGAGTGGGCAGGGGCATCTTTCTGAGTCCCAGCGGCTTCCCCAAGGGGTTGCTAAGGACCCCTGACCTTAAGATCCTCACCCCACCTACGTCCCCACCCACAGCCCTGAGCTTTGGCCTTCACTGTTCCCGCCCCCCCCCATCCTCAGCACCCTTGCCTTGCCCGGTGCTGCAGGGTGGGTGGGAGGGGCTGCTGAGCCCCCAGTGTAGTGTTGGCACCACCCTGGGTCGGACTCCACGTCGGGGCAGAGCCTACTCACTTGCAAAGAGGGACAGGGAAGGGGAGTCGATGATGGTGAACTTGGCCCCGGGGTCACTCCTTCGCCACTGTAGGAGGAGACAGGGTGGGTGTGCCAGGTTGAAGGCAGCTGATGTCTAACAGGGGTCCTGGGGGCGGCGGGTGGCAAGGAGCTCGGAGAGGTGGGAAGGGCGGGGGGCACTCACCGCCACCTCCACGTGGTCCGTGCCCTGGTCATTCTGCTTGTGCAGCACCTCGAAGTAGTACCTGCGGGAAGCTGAGAGGCTGGCGGGACAGAGGGACACGTGGAGGGTTGTGGGCCACTCCCACTCCAACCTTCCCTCTGCTCTTACATCCCCAACCCTGGACGTTTGCTCAGTATCACACGGGTACAAGTAGTGGGGCTGCAGTTTGTCAGCCACTACTGTTCTAAGTTGCCTGGATAGGGTCACCCACTAGGCCTTTTCACAGAGAACCTCAAGCCTGTGCCTGCGCAGGTGCGGACAGGCGTTGTGTTCAAACAGCCACCAGGTGGCGCTCTTGACCTTAGCTTTCGCTCCCTAAAGCGATTCCGGTCGGGACAGACCGGCTACTCCAGCCATGGAGGGCCAGGAGACCGGAGCCCTGTCTCCCAGTCCTGAGTGTCACTGAGTGGCTAGCTATGTGGCCTTCCATGAGCCGGGCCCCTCCGTGGGCCCCTGTCACAGGCTGGCAGTCTCCCGGGCACACCAATATAACTCCCCTATACTCACCTCACCGGCTTGGAAATTTGACTCCGAAATTTCCCAAACTCTCCTGGGGCCGTCCACTCCTTTCCAGTCTGGGGCGTGGGGAATAAAGGGGAGGGGAACCAGGAAGGACAAGGGAGATGGAGGACAGAGAGGAAGTGGGTGAAGTGGGCGGTTAGGAGGTGCACGCTGACCCGGGCTAGCGGTTCCTGGGGTCTTCCGAGCCTACCTTGCCCACGCTGGCCAGCAGTTGAAGTCCTGAAACCTGGTCGTCATGGCTCAGCCAGAACTCGGCGTTGTCGTCTGAGGCGATGGCAAACTGGACTTTCCCTGGGCAGAGGGGGAGAGCGTCCGGTAGGGCAAGAGGGGCTGGGCACACAGGCGTGTGTGCAGTTGTGCCTCCCTTGTAAAGCCGGGCTTTCCACATCGAGGGAGACAGTGGGGACTCGGGGATGGCAGCCCACCCACCACACTGGGGAGCCACACGGCCCCGAGACTCAGTGGGCCCAGGCGGATGTCCTAGCTGCCGGCTCCGTGCCCCGTACAACCCTGCAACAGGAGGAAGGGCCGGCCTTCGGGGCTGGACTCACCGTCGGTGAAGGGGTGCAGGTAGCCAAAGATGCGGAGGCCGTAATTGGTCCATCGGGGGGACACAGCCAGCTTCCTCAGGGTTGTGCGGATCTAAGCCAAGGAGAAGAGGGAAGAGGAGCTGAAGAAATCGGGATGCTTGGGACTGCAGGGCGAGTCCAGAGGGGCCTCCGGACTGAACCCTCCCCCTCGTGTCACTGCAATCAGGTGACCTTGGATAGCGCACAGCAGCACAATTGCACCCGATGGCCGTGAAGTCACCCCTTTGCAAACGGAAATGACAAAATGACGCAGGGTGACACCTCCCTGGGACGGAGCAAGGGGAGTGAGGGTGGGGAGGCGCAGGGAGGGGAGAGGGCCCCAGCTAGGGGAGCTGCCCCAGGGGGACAGGGCGGCACAGCAGGCACTCACGTGGGGGTACAGTGGGAAGTGCAGGTTCCTCCGGAGCTGCTGGATGGAGCTGCCACACCAGTCCTCGAACACGTGCAGGTTGGCCCGGCCCCGGAACTGCACAGCAGAGGTGTGAACAAAGGTGAGCAGCCACGCACGCCTGCCTCGCTGCCGCAGGGGCCACAAGGGACAGACACAGGCCCAGGGTGCAGACACAGCCCATACAGCTGCTACCTCTGGCATTGATGAGGGCTGGCCCTAGGAATGGAGCCTGTTTTCCTTGCCATGCACACACACACACACACACACACACACACACACACCCCTGCTGCTCCTTCCAATGTGGAAAAGCGGCTGCCTGACCTTTCCAAGAGAGAACGGGTATAGCCATGATGGGCTTCCAGCTAAAGCCTGGCTCTCCCACCTGCCCCCTTCCTGCCTGCTGCCCACAGCCATCTGCTTCCTGTGTCCCTGCGCCCCCACGCCCACCAGGGGGAAGCCCACAGCATGGCACTGCAGGTGGCCCCTGGGATCTGGCTCCACCTCTCTGGAGCCTGCTGCAGGTAGCCTGCGGACCAGGAGGGGCCTAGGGGGATGCCCCGTGGCCTTGGTGAGGAACACAAACGGGCCTGGAGGCCTGCAGCAGAGGGAAGGGCTAAGGCAGGGAAGGGCTGGACGCTGTCAACAAGCAGAGAGGGGAGCCTGGGGTGTGGTCCCAATGTACCCTCTGAGTCTCCGGACATCCCACCTCGGGCGGAGGCGAACTCCTTTCCAGGAGGTAGTGCCTCCCCACAGGCCTTGCCCTTCCCTCCCCACACCGGAGCTCAGCAGGTGTCAGAGCTGAGCTGCCCTTAGGAAAATGGAGCGGCACAGGCAGGGCCCTGCACCTGGGGCCCAGGTCTTCAGCAATGGGGTCCTGAGGGTGTCCGGGGTCTAGAAAGGTTAGCACCTCACCAGGGACACGGGCAGCCTCTGGGGACCGCTGCCCGGAGCTGGGTCCAGAAGAGACCCTGGGAAGCCTGTCTCTCGCTGCCCCTTGAGCCACATGCTGCCTCCTGGGCACTCTGGCTCGGTAGGTGCTAGGAATGTGAGTCCCACTCGCAGGAACAGGAGTGGGGGTCGGGTGGTGGGGACGCGCTCGGGTCTGACGGAAGAAAGAGGCCATTGTGTTCCTTCTGGGCGAATTACTCAAGTCCAGCGTACAAGCCACGGTTGTCGCCGACAAATGGCCTGTTCTCTGTGCCTCCCTGGGAGGAGCGAGGCGGATGGGGGGAGGGCCGTGCCACCGGAGAAGCCTGCGTTCGGCCTCGAGGCCAGAGGCCAAGGGAGTGGGCAGGGAGCGCGGTGGTGGCGAGGGAGGCATGATGCCCCGCTTCCCTGCTGTGTGTGCGTGGCGGGAGGAGGGCTTTCTTAGGGTAGGCATGGAGGGAACCCGAGCAGCCCTCTGGGGCCCAGGCACTGCCCCAGCTGGGAGGCAGCCCCGTGACCTGGGGGCCTGACAAGCTGGCAGGCCTGCGACCCTCCATCCCCCGCCCACCACCCAACCCCTGTCATCCAGCAGGGTGGCAAGGCGGGCTGAGGAGGCTGGGCAGACACCAGCAGGGCAACTCTTGGCTGTAGGCGGCCAAAGACAATTTAGGAACTGCCAGTCAGATAAACTCCTGTGACGTGATGCATTGCGGATCCTGGTTTTGCAAGGGCACAGGCGTGGGGAGGGGGAGGCTGCAGTGTGGATCAGGAGGGCGAGGCCGCTGATGGACCCTCACCTGGGACAACCACTCAACCCCCACAGCCCCACGGCACTGCCAGGCCTGCCGGACCCTGCACTGCACTCACTCACCCACCGGGCTCAACTTGAACTGGTGTGAAGGACAGCCCCTGAGCAAATCTGAGCACAAGCTCCAAAGGGCCTCCCAACAGGCCTTCAAACAAAAGCTCACCTAGGGGCCCAGCGCGGTAGCCTAGTGGCTAAAAAATCCCCCACTCAGCATGTACCGGATTCCCATGTGGGTGCCAATTCGTATCCTGGCTGCTACACTCCCATCCAGCTCCCTGTTCGTGGCCTGGGAAAGCAGTCGAGGACGGCCCAAAGCCTTGCGACCTGCACCTATGTGGGAGACCCGGAAGAAGCTCCTGGCTCCTGGCTTCAGATCGGAGTTCAGGTCAGGCCATTGCGGCCACTTGGGGAGTCACCCAACAGATGGAAGACCTGTCTCTCCTCTCTGTAAATCTGACTTTCCAATAAAAAATAAATCTTAAAACCACACACACCCCTTCCCTTCTCCTCACGCCAGCAGAGCCCACTCCTGGCTCGGAAGGCCTTGGAATAGTTCTCTCTGCGAGGCCTCTTCTAACTCCCCCAGCACAGCTGCTGGCTCCCTCCACGTGGACCCAACACCTCTTACCTGTCTTGAGTGAACAGAGGTTGGCAGGTGCCAAGAACAACACACTCATTCATTTGTTCCGCAAGCACCGTCTGCTCTGTCCAGTTCAAGATGGAGGAGGTGTGTGAACACTGTCCTGGGGGGGAGGTGCCCAGGGGCATGGAGTGTGGGGGGGGGGGGTGGCAGCTCTCTGCCTTCAACCCAGAAAAAGCCCACCATCACAGGATGTAAGCACCCAGGACCCCCACTCCATCAGACCAGCCCACCTGCCTGGGGCTTGAGCTGCAGGGCCACAGAGCGCAGGAGGCCGCAGCCCAGCAGGGCCATCTGGCCACCACCGGCTCCCATTCACCAGACTCCAGTCCGAGTTCCAGGGAACTCCATCTGTATGAGAGTGTGGGATCGAGTCCCCACAGCTCTGCTTCGATCCATCTCCCTGCTACTGCACCCCAGAAGATCAGCAGAAGATGGCTCAAGTATTCGGGGCCCTGCCACCCACAGAGGACACTTGGATGGACCTAGCCCAGCAGCCAGCTGGCCTTGCGGCCAACTGGGAAGTGAATTCTATAACTCGGGATTTCAAATAGATCTGTAAAGTAAACCGAAGCACACAATAAAACAGGACGGCAGCCATGGGCACCTCAAGAGTGGGAGTCTGGGTCCCAGCCCTGGCTTACCAAAGCCAGAACAAAACTTCTGCGCAAATTGGACTTTCTCCTATCTGACCTTAAACTCACCAAATTTCCTCCTTTTTAAGTAACTCGCAGAACAATGGAACTAAGACCAAGTTTACTTGGAAGTCAAAACACTGTAAAATCCATGCATTTATTGATAATAGGCATTTTCCATGACCTCAGAAAGGTCTCTTAAAGGCATGGTTTTCAAGATGTTGGCACCACCCCAAAGATTTTTTTTTTTTAATTTTGCTTCCACAAACTTGGGGCAGCACCTTGGTATTTGGGTTTTGACTGGAGGAGCCAATTAGCAGACTGAGCGCTCAGGTCAGCACTCAGGTCTATGACTGACCAACACAGACCTTGGCACTGGGAAGACGCTCACGAGCTTGAGGTTTGAGTCCACGCCAGGTAAGCGGCTGAAAACAGCTACTGCAGGAAGGCCAGCCACCTGTGCCAGGCCTTAGAGAGTCACCCATGACCCCGGAGCCCCTGAGCTGCAGCCAAGACGGGCAGCAGACTGCCACTGTTCTCTCAGGTTCCGTCCTGCCAGGCTCTGGGCCAACTCCGTGACCTGCAGGGGAGCTGGTAACCCCTGGGAGCCCTCCGGTCAGGGCAGGACAGGACACTGCTGACAGCTCACAGAGGCTTGGCAGAAAGAGCCACCCTTGTCCCCCTATGCTGTTATCAGCAGGCAAGCATCGGGGACACTGAGCCCCAGGAGTGGAGAGCCCGGGGCCGGGCTGGATACCAGGAGGGGGCCCCTCTGCAGCTGTGTGACCAGATGACCTAACTCCACAGTCTCTTACTCTTTTTGGTAAAATAAGCAGGCCGGATCAGCACTTTGCTAAGGAGCCTCTGTTAGCTGTCGTTAATACTGAAACAAGCAGGGCCCGGCAGCTAAAATCCTCACCTTGAAAGTTCCAGGATCCCACATGGGCACCAGTTCTAATCCTGCCAGCCCCTATTTCCCATCCAGCTCCCTGCTTGTGGCCTGGGAAAGCAGTCGAGGGTGGTCCAAAGCCTTGGGATCCTGCACCTGTGTGGGAGACCTGGAAAGAAGTTCCTGGCTCCCGGCTTCGGATCGGCGCAGCACCAGCCACTGCGCTCACTTGGGGAGTGAAACATCGGATGGAAGATCTTCTCTGTCTCTCCTCCTTTCTGTATATCTGACTTTGCAATAAAAATAAATCTTTTTTTTAAAAAAAATACTGAAACAAACAGAAACAAAACCGTGCACAGACTTGTGGCCTAACGGTATAGTCGCTGGTAGAGATGGCCAGGTGTACCATCAGAGTGCCTGCTTTGAGTCCCCTCCGGCTCCTGACTCCAGCCACTGGCTCCCTGCCACCCACACAGGATGCTGGGTGCTGGCTTGGACCTCATTTGCGAAGTGAACTTTACACGGGAGCATCTAATCTCAGAACCAAAAGGTCACACCTACCTATCAAAATATTAAATATGCGTTTCAAAGGTCACCTGTTTGCATCAGTATTTAATATGTAATAAATGTCTAGTTTTTACATATTCATCTATATTTCTATATATCCTTAACTGACCTAAAAAGCTGGAGGAATTAACAACACACAAGGAAGGAAATAATTGGTTCTGCCGGAAAAGCAATCCGAGCTGTCCTTTAAAGAAGGCTAGGTCCCCAGACCAATTCATCTCAGATGCCACTTCTTTTCATCACAGTATCTCCAGGTGGGGTGGGCATAATGATGTCACCTCGTGCAGGTGTGCCAGCGTGGTAACCCAGCCTGTCTCAGGGTTTTACAGAAAGAGGCAGTTTCACGGTGTGGATAACCTACCACCACTTTCAGGACAATGCTGCCTCCTGCCCTTCCACCCCAGCACAAGTGGGTGGCTTGGAACTAAAACCACCCAGGTTGAAAAGATAAAGCCGAGATAGGTGCGGGCCAATACCCCTCAGCCAGGAAAAGGAATCTATGGCCGCAGGCCCCAAGGCTCCAAGGAGAGCTGCAAAATGGGAAAGCCAAGCATTGGAAAGTCAGATATACAGAGAGGAAGATCTTCCGTCCGATGGTTCACTCCCCAAGTGGTTGCAATGGCTGGAGCTGAGCCGATCCAGAGCCAGGAGCCAGGAGCCAGGAGCCAGGATCTTCTTCTGGGTATCCCACATGGGTACAACAGGGTCCCTAGGCTTTGAGCCGTCCTCAACTGCTTTCGCAGGCCACAAGCAGGGAGCTGGATGGGAAGTGGGGCCACCAGGACACAAACCGGCGCCTATATGGGATCCCGGCGCATGTAAGCTGAGGACTTTAGCCGCTAGGCTACTGCACTGGGCCCAAGTTTATGCTTCTATGCCTGAAGCAGTGGGCCACCCTGCAAGGCACTGTCCTCAGAGACAGCTTACACCTGCTAGTGAACTCCCCGAGCCTCCAGGTCTTCACCTGCAGAACGCCTTCCTAAGGAAGTGGCTTCTTGATGGTGATGCCGCCTTTGACCCGTGGTGCCATGCCACGTTTTCTAACAGCAGAATTGCCTAGCGCGTGCTCCTTAGAGCACCCATCTCAGAGAACCTTAATACTATTTCATAGGAAAAAAAAATAAGATCGTGGAGCGGCAAGTTAACGGGGACATGCTGAGCTAAACCCAGAGAAACAGGCTGCTCGGATGCTTCCCCATGTTAATGTGGTTCCAAGACGGGGGGGCAGGATCAAGCTGGCTTTTAAAATTCATCTAGCGGAGGCCCGGCGCGGTGGCACAGTGGTTAAGGTCCTCGCCTTGCACGCCCGGGATCCCATATGGACGCCGGTTCTAATCCTGGTGGCCCCGCTTCCCATCCAGCTCCCTGCTACTCCAGCCATCACCTCCCAGGCCACCCAGGCCACCCACCCATAGGAGAGTGGATCAGATGCAGAAGCAAGACAAGATCCCAAGCACCCTGATATGGGGTGCAGGCATCCCAAGTGCTTAGCCTGTTATACCCCACTCAACTGCGGGTTCCACTGTGAGTTTCTCTGTCTCTGATTTTGAAGAAGAGGAGGAAGAAAGTGGAAGAAAGTGGAGTGTGTGGAAGTGACTCGCACGGCCATGAAAGCCTCCTTCGGAGCCTGTCGCTCCCATCCAAGATAGGCGGATCACGGCACCATCTTCCAGGGACATAAAGCTGGCGTGGGAAGACACGCAGCGCCTGGCACGCCGCAGGCCTTCAGCGAAAGCCAGTGCTCCTCTCCAGCGAGGCAGAGTGTTAAAAATAGCCATTCTCAGAAAGCTGCTGGGGCTCTGCGCGACCACCCATGGACATTCATGTTTAGCCCTCACCAAGCACAGGGCCGGAGGACAGCCCCTCACCTCCGACAGCCAGGGGACGGCCTTGTTCCACTTCAGGTAGCTGCTGTTACTGCTCCCATCTTGGTCCATTCCTTGGTCCTGGAGAGAGAGCAAGAAGTTGATGAGAAGAGCGGAGTGAGAAACCGAGGGCAGAACAGCACTGGGGACCCAAGGACGTGGGCATGGCAGAGCCGCCCGAGACACCTGCTTCCCACGTCTAAAGGGCCACGTTTTGAGTCCCGGCTCCACTGCAGACTCCAGCTGCCTGCTAACGGGCAGCAGTGTGGGGAGTGACCCTTCCTGCCCCTTAAAGCTTGCCAAGGGACACTCCTGTCGCTGTATTCCATCACACCCTCAGCCACACTCTCAGGTTCTTCTATCTTCCCCTATCAAAAGTGACTCCGGTGCTATGTCGATCTGAAGCCAGGAGCCAGGAGCTCTTCCAGGTCTCCTACGCAGGTGCAGGGTTCCAAGGCCTTAGGCCATCGTCGACTGCTTTCCCAGGCCACAAGCAGGGAGCTGGATGGGAAGCGGGGCTGCCGGGATTAGAACCAGCGCCCATATGGGATCCTGGTGCGTTCAAGGCGAGGACTTTAGCCACTAGGCCATCACGCCGGGCCCCAAAAGTGACTTCTCATGACACCGGGCCCCTCTATGCACAGGCTCCTGACACATTCTTCCTCTCCATCCCTCAGGGCTCTGACCCAAGAAGTGGGATCCCCTCAGGAACACCCCAACACCCCCATGAGGCAGGCCCGCTTCTGTGCTAGGCTCAGTGTTGGGGCTCCACACTCCGCTGGACTCTGGTTTCCTTAATCTGCCTCCCTAGCGAATGTTGGCCACACCTGCTACTGTTTTATAAACTGTACCACCAGCTAACTGCCAGGAGGGACATCTGTCCGCTGCGTCATCTCCGACTCCTGGCACCTGCTAGCCAGTATCCTCTCTAAGGTAGAACAAGGGGCCAGTGCTGAGGCACAGCAAGGCAAGCTGCCCTTGTGACCACAGCATCACCTATGGGTGCCTGTCCCACGTGTCCAGGCTCCTGCCACCCATGTGAGGGACCAGAATGGAATTCTCCGGCTTGTTGCAGCCGTTTGGGGAATGAACCAGTAGATGCAAGTTCTCTCTCTCTCTCTCTCTCGAACTCTAACTTCCAAATAGAAAATATTCAGGTAGGACACCCAGTTTGAGATGGAGACCATGGGCCTGCAATGGCTCAGTCTTGGGCTCTCTGAACTAGCCTTATTCTGCTGAAGCCAGGAAATTCAGGCCTGTGGCAGCCACGCCATGGACACGTCCACTGCACAGCTGGGGAACCTTGGATGCCGGGCTAGGACTCTCAGACATCATAATGGAAATTCCACAAGGCCACAGGGCATGGAGATGGCGGGCACGGGTAGGCCCGGTGAAACATAGCAGCAGGGGAAAAGGCCAACCCTGCCCCGTACCTTGAGGTTCAACCTTTGGGGGCGGTGGAACTGGAGATTCGGGTCCACAGCTGGCATATTCCTGCTGGTCAGTGCTTTGGCCAGTTCTCGCCAGCTGCCATACCCTATGGAAGAGGAGGACCAGATGAGCACCAACACACATACGAGACGCACACATCTGCAAGAGTGTGCAGGCGTGGGGGTGGGGCGGCAGGGCCGGCCTCCTCCTCCTCCTCCTCCTCCTCGTCCCACAGTCATTCTGAAGTGGAAGCAGGAAGCAATGACAGACCTGACCGGAGTCAAAGGTCAACAGGGCAGAGCAAGGGATGGAGCTTAGATCCGTCTGAATCCGCTGGCTTCCCTGAGTCACAGACCGAGCCAGGCCAGGTGAGCTATAAGTCATTGTCCTCCCCCAGCTGGGAGGCCCTGGCCCCCACCACGCCATTCATCAGCAGGTTGCTGGACAGGGGAGACGCGAAAGGGTGGGGGTTTGTCAAACACATTTATGAACAGCTAAAGATGTCAGATGCAACTCGTGGGCTGCTTCAGAGGCTGTGTAGGAAATGTGCACCCTGAAGACTCAGGACCCAGCTGCTTCCACACATCTGGGAAGGCAACACGCCAAACCACGGAGGCCGGGCGCGAGCAAGTGGGGAGAGGAAGTGGCTGGAGCGCACACATGTGTCCACAAAGAAGCACAGAGGTAAGAGAGGCTGTGCTGAGCAACACACACACACACACACACACACACACACCCGCACGCCCAGCACCACCCCGGGGCAGGGGGACAAGGCACAAGCCGGAAGGAGACTGCGGGCTTGGACCAAACCACTGCTGGCTGAAAACTGGGGTCAAAGACCATCAGCGCTGGAAGGCTTCCGTTGAGCTGGCAGTCGGCATTCAGGCTGGTAAACTGACTGAGGAGGACTCAGGGCAAATACTGCCAAGGCTGAGACCCAAACCAAAGTGGACAGCTGCTGCTGTCCCCACAACAGCTTCATCCAGGTGCCTGCTTTGAGCCACTCCCTTCTACTTCCAATCATGCTGCCCACAGATGCGCACCCTGGCAGGCTTGTGGCTCCAGATAGGAGTTGTGAATTTTGGGGGGATTCCTGCCTAGCATAGCCCTGGCTATCATAGTAAATCAGAGGACAGGAAAACTCTCAAATAAAATGAAAATCAATTTTGAAAGTGCTCCCAAGTCCTACATCCTCCATTTTTTGGGTGAACGCAGGGAAAAGCCATATGATTATCTGCCCATCCCCACTCAAACCCATGAGCAAAGCAGAAGCCGTGGTCCTCTCTGTTCAGCGCCAAGGGGCTGCTGGTCGGGTACGGTGGCTCGGGGACCCGGGTGACGTTTAGTTAGACTGTGAGTAACACCAGACAGGCGCCGCCTGGCTTCTGCACTGGGGGGCTTGGTCAGTTCTTCCTTGAGCCTCCTCCTGCAAGGAATGGCATCTTCTAGCAAAGGAACAGGTGCATCCACGCCGTGTGTCCACGCCAGGCGTGGAGGACTGTCCAGCAGGCACATGCTCTCTCACGTCACACCAGAGCTCTGCAGCTCTCACCATGGCAGTGAAGCAGTGGACTCCCTCCTTGGCCAACCGCTGGGCTCCTCGCAGCCATCTTTGCAAGGGAGCCTCATCATTTCTTTCTTCTTCTTTTTTTTTTTAGATTACTCATTTTTATTGGAAAGTCAGATATACAGAAAGCAGGAAAGAGAAAAATCTTCCATCTGATGATTCACTTCTCAAGTGAACACAATAGCTGGAGTTCAGTTGATTTGAAGCCAGAAGCCAGGAGTTTCCCCGGGGTCTCCCACACGGGTGCAGGGTCCCAAGGACTTGGGCCGTCCTTGACTGCTTTCCCAGGCCACAAGCAGGGAGCTGGATGGGAAGTGGAGCTGCCGGGATTAGAACAAACACCCATGTGGGATCCTGGTGCATGCAAAGTGAGGATTTTAGCCACTAGACTACTGCACTAGGCCTCCTCATTGTTTCTTTAAAAAAAAAAAAAAGAATTACGTGGAAGGCAGAGGGAAAGAGGTTTTTTGGTCTGCTGGTTCCTTTCTTGGATGGCTTTGACAATAGGTCTGGACCAGACAGAAGCCAGGAGCCTGGAATTCCATCCAGGTCTCCCACGGGGATGGCAAACTGGGCCATCTTCAGCTGCCTTCCCAGGTGCATTATCAGGGAGCTGGATCAGAAGCAGAGCGGCTGGAACTTGTGCCAGTGCTCTCAACACTCACACCACATCACATCATCATCCCCAAGAGGCCTCGTCATCCTGCAGCTGGTCCTGGACCTACCTGACCCAATCTTCGGCAAAAATCCGGCTAAGCCAGTTGGGCAAGACTCCCTCCGCCCTTGCTGGGTGATCATCCTCCACACTGCATCAGGTTCCCCTGTCTCCCACCCTTGCCTTCAGCAACAATCCTATAAGGACAGTCGAGCCAGGAACCCTCCCAACCCTGATGTCTCCCCACCTCCACCCACTACCCTGCTGTGAATTCCCAAATGTCTCCTCCATTTTCAGGACTGACTCAGCTCTGTATGAAGTTTCTGAATAGCGTGTGCCATGCTGGCGCATTCCGCTCGCACACAGAGCAGGGCAGGACACTCCCCGTGGACCAGGACAAATTCACCACAGGGGAGGGGCCCTGCTCGTGAGTCACAGGAGATCGGCCCAGTCTCCAGCCATCAGGAAACGAACTCCTCGCAGACTTCACGGGCGTAGTAAAACACGCAGGCAGGGGTCCGGTGTGAGAGCTGTCTGCTTGTGTACCTACCACTTACACCAGTGCCTGAGCAAGGCCAAGTAACCTCTCTGGCCTTGGTCTCTTCATTCAGATGGTGGGGATCGAAACGCCAGCCCAGCGACTGGGGATGGAATTTTGCGCCGGCCGGAGTGCGCTGTCTGATACAATGGGAGTTCTCTCTTCTTCCTCACAGTTTCTGAGTTTAGGGTTTGCGATGTGTCAGAAGATGTGAGTCCCAATTAACTTTGACTTTTATAAGCTGTAAATAACCAATGACTGTCCAATGTTCTTCTCTCTTTTCTCTGACTACCGAGAAGTCAGCAGGCAGTGGGCACAGTAAATAAATAAATAATAAACATGCACATATATCATTTGCCAAGGTGGACATGTGTCATGAATGGTGAGAACATTCATGCTCTGTATTTTAAGTGTCTGGGTTCGGGCCCGGTGTAATAGCCTAGTGGCTGAAGTCCTCTCCTTGAATGCACCAGGATGCCATACGGGCACCTGTTCTAATCCCGGCAGCCCCATTTCCCCTCTCCACCTCTCTGCTTGTGGCTTAGGAAAGCAGTTGAGGATGGCCCAAAGTCTTGGGACCCTGCACCCGAGTGGGAGATCTGGAACAAGTTCCTGGCTCCTGGCTTCGGATTGGCTCAGCTCCAGTCATTGTGCCCACTTGGGGAGTGAACCAGTGGATGGAAGATCTCTCCCTGTGTTTCTCCTTCTCTCTGTAAATCTGCCTTTCCAATACAAATAAATAATCAATCTTTTTTTTTTTTAAAGAAAAAGTGTCTAGCTTCAGTGCTGGCTCTGGCTCCTACGCTGGCTGCCTGCTCAGGCAGCAAATGACAGCTGGACCAGTCGAGTCCTTGCTACCCATGTGAGAGAATCGGCTAAGTTCCTCGCTCCTGGTGTCTGCCGTGGCCCAGTCATTACACACGCACATCTGTGCAATGAGCCAGCAAATGGGATCTGTTCATTCATCCATCTCTCTCTAATAGGTAAATAACTTAGTTTTCAAAAACAGGTGAATAATCCTTTCTCCTTGTCAAAGGTCGCTCCTCTGCCCCACCATGCCCCAGGCAGTTGCACTCACCGTATGCTGTGCTCCACATTTGCATATCCTCTCACTTCCTGTCTGCCTGTGCATTAATCACGCCCCTGCTTGGCCTGCCTGGGAGAACTTGGGAGCTCAAGAATGTGTTGATTTAACTCTTGACACTTGTCACTTACCCTCTAGTAAGCAAACCTTCCCAGCTCCCGGCCAGACCTCTCCTCCCACAACGCCAGCTGCCAGGGTCTGTTTCCCCTGCAACAGGTGTCACTTCTGCGCCAGGAGACAGACACTCGGCTCTCCGGTGACAGATAAAGCACCACCGTGGGCCTCAGATTCCACTCCCACAAAGCGAGGCAGCAGAAACAGTGCCAACCTCCCATCCCCGGGTAGCCGCTTCAAGGGCTGAAGATCACCATCTCGGCTCGCGGCTGAAGGTACAGCCTGTGTATATACCCCTTTGTGCTTCCTCTCTTGCACTCTCCCACATGTCATTTTACTGCTCCTCTGGCCTCCCTGTTGTGTGCTGTATCCTCTCCGTTCAAGAAGTCACAGACGCCCAGAGGAAAACCTGGGGGCCTCTGCTCTGGTGGGACAGGTTAAGGCAGCGTCAGCAGCCACAGATGAGCACCAATTCGAGTCCTGGCTGCTCCACTGCCCATCCAACTCCCTGCTAACACACCTGAAAGAGAAGCAGCAGAGGGCCCAAGGGCATGGGTCCCTGCACCCACATGAGACACCTGAAAGATGTTCTAGGCTCCTGGCTTTGGCCAGCCCAGCCACTGTAGCCATTTGGGAGTGAACCAGCAGACGGAAGATTTCTCTCTGCAACTCATCTTCAAATAATAAATAAACAAATCTTTAAAAGAAAAAAGCCACCTCTGTATAGAATGTGGGTATCTTCAGGGTTAAGCCATGTGGATACTTCCCTCAAAGGATATACACTTTAAAAAAAGGAAAATCAGGCCCAGGATTCAGGGCCCGGAACGCAGTACCCACTCAGCACAACACAGATTCATAATCTATGATTCCTTGCACTGTTGCAGATTGGGAACACGCTTGCATCTCTGGACCCCTGGGCGGATGGTCTTGTCATGCATCTGGCTCATTCACCCCAGAGAGGAAGGAGTTCCCCTTACTGCTCAGGCAGGGTTAGTGTCCCAGACTCACAGGGAGAACTGCAGGCCTGAGCCTCCCAACCCCATCCCTGGGGGATGCAACACTTCAAAGTGCTGTTGACCTCACCTGTGAGGAGTTCGCATTAAATCTGCATATAGGTATAAAATCCTAAAACCTATTAATAAGCTGCT